ATTTATCTGATCCCCATAAAGCTCGATCTCAAACCGGATACGTATTTACATATGGAGGTACTATCATATCATGGCGCTCCACAAAGTAATCTATTGTTGCTACTTCTTCAAATCATGCTGAGATAATAGCTATTCATGAAGCAAGTAGGGAATGCGTACGGTTGAGATCAATAATTCATTTTATTCGAGAAAAATATGGTTTGGAATGTGAGAAAAGACCCACAATTTTATACGAAGACAATACTGCATGCATAACCCAATTGAAGGGAGGATTTATAAAAGGAGATAGAAAGAAGCACATTTCACCAAAATTATTCTACACACACGATCTTCAGAAAAGTTGAGACATTGATGTGCAACAAATCCGTTCAAGTAATAATCCAGTAGATTTATTCACTAAATCATTACCAACTTCAACATTTGAGAAGATGGTATACAAGATTGGAATGTGGAGACTCAAATATTTGAAACNTAGCAACTTACACAACAGCTTGTAGCAGCTTACACAGCAGCTTGTAGTAGCAACTTACACAGCAACTTGTAGTAGCAGCTTACTTTCTTCTATAAATAGAAGAGATTTCAGTTCATTATGTACATCAGTTTGAGTTCGAATAATATATCAGTTTCTCTCTATACTTGTCTTTACTTTACGGTCTTTATTTTATAACATTAACTACATAGAACCTCAAAGTCAGTCTCCACTTATCCAAGTGTTAATCTATTTTCAGAGTACAAATTTGCCTGCTCTTAATCCCTAATCGTCCCTTAATCAAGCTTACTAATCCACTGTTATTGTCTAATGGAGGTTAGTGAAGTTCAGATTTTTTTGTTTTGTATTTTATATTTTATATTATTGTGGTGTCTTGGCCAGCTTGTTCACCGTGTGTGTATGTCCTGCTCCACATGTATCTGATAATTAGATGGGTTTAATCCTTGAGATTTAACCTAAACACATTGTATAGTCGAAATTATAAGTTCTTAATTTAATATTAGATAAAGTTTTAGTTGTTCTTTTCCACACAAAGATATATGCGAGGTGAATTCAGGAAATAAATTTTGTGGATTCGGGATGTCACTGAACCCACTAAGTTACTTGATTCAGAATTTAGTATTTGTATATAATGCCAAAATTATTGAATTCGACTAAACGCACACCTTATGCATCCGCTCATGTCGATTCTTACGCCAATTTGGTTCATTATTTGATTTGGTTCAATTTTTTTTATTTAATTTTTCTACATCTTATTTAAAATCAAATACACTTGTATTTAGATTTTGAATGGAGTAACATTTAACTTTTCCTTCCTCATATTAGTGCAATGAACAAGAGAAAGGAAATACAACTTATTAATTCCAAATACCAAATAAACTTTCTTATAGCATCTTTATTACATAATCATAACAATTCTGATTACAAAATCTCAATCAACTGTTACATTAATGAATTGTATAATCCAACATTAAATCCTAAGCATCTTAGTCAAATGCACTTAGTGAGAGATCTAAAAACAAGAAATCACAAAACTTATATAAATATGGAAATTAGTAGGTAAAACTGGTGTTTAATTTTCTCTTTGCTTCTTATCAGATCCCATTCCAAGAGTATTCTTCACACCATCAATTGCACCTTGAGCCATGTGTATCATTTGCTCTCCAGTCTGACGAAAATCAAAAAAATAAATAATAAAATAAACTAATGAGAAACCTACTATTACACACTAAATATGTTAAAAATATTTATATACATTTAAAATGTACGGAATTTTTTGCACTATCAGTATACTTTAATTTGTTATAGTAAGGTGACCTGCTTTATTTTACAAGTTACTAATCCCAATTTTATGAATATTGATCTTCTATAAGGATTAATTAAAGTTATACACAGTGACAATATAGAAGCTTTCGCACCATCTTTGTAATTTAACATGTTAAAACAAGTTATTTGCCATTTATTCTAGGTTAACACTCAACAACAACAACAACAACAATAACGACCCAGTATAATCCCACAAGTGGAGTTTGGGGAGGGTAATATGTACGCAGACCTTACTCCTACCCCGAAGGATAGAGAGGTTGTTTCCAGGAGACCCTCGGCTCAAAAAAAGTAACAGGAGCCGATATATTAGTACCATAAAAATGCATAATAAAATTACAGCAATATAAGAGATATGAAATACAGAATACGAAATACGAAATAGATGGCTGGTATAGTAAAACTAGCAGGTAAAGCCCTGCATCAATAGACGACCAATGACATTCTTAGTCTAACTCCTAACTGGCTAGTCTCACTCTATTGTGCTGTAGAAATATTCACAACTTTCCCCTAACCTACAACCTTAATGCTCGACCTCCATAATTCCCTGTCAAGGGCCATGTCCTCAGTAATCCTAAGTCGCGCCATGTCCTGTCTGATCACCTCTCCCCAATACTTCTTAGGTCGCTCTCTACCTCTCCGCGTGCCCATTACAGCCAGTCGCTCACACCTCCTCACCGGTGCATCAGTGCTCCTCCTCTGAATGTGCCCGAACCATCTGAGTCTTACTTCCCGCATCTTGTCGGGGGGCCACGCACACCTTCTCTCGAATATCTTCATTCCTAATCTTATCCATCCTTGTATGCCCGCACATCCACCTCAACATCCTCATCTCTGCTACTTTCATTTTTTGGATGTGTGAGTTCTTTACCGGCCAACACTCAGTGCTTGTTAAATAAAGTTACATGCATCCTATAGCATCCGTTCGTTCTTTTTTTCCCAGATAGATGATCAGAACTTCAGCTAAGTTTGAATCCTACTAAGATGTCCACTAGAAATCAGAAATTATTAAAGTGCAATTACCTTTAAAATGACCTAATTGGTATATAAAAATTAAAACTCTTTTAAAAAATAAGCAAACAATTGAATATAAAAACAAACAGAGTTACCTGCTGAAGAAATCCAGAATTTTGGTCCTTGTTTTGTTCAGCTGTCTCACTAGCTCTTTGTGTAGCATTTTCAGCTTTGTCTACAGCAGAATTTGCTATACTCTTGCCTGAATCTACCCACTGCTCTGTGTTGGCCTTTTAATAGGTGAAAATAAATAAATACATTTTTTATCTCTAAAAATAAAAATAAATAAATAACTGAATATCAACAATTAATTGTATTTTGAATAAAGGGAGTACAAAAAATTTGTCCCATGACTTTGATCTAGTGATAAGAGCAGGGCAGCCTGGTGCACAAGGTATTTTGCGTTCACGCAGGATTTGCGAAAGGGTCGCACCCCAAGAGGTGTAATATAGACAATCTACCTTAATGCAAGCATTAATGCCTGCTTCACAATTCGAACCCGTGATTTATAGGTCACATGAAGACAACTTTACCGTTGCTCTATGGCTCCCCTTCGATCTAGTGGTAAGAGCACGACACGTAATGTGTGGGTTGGACGCACATTTTGGGTTCGGATCTAGTTGCAGACAAAAACCTGATGTTTAAATGGAGAAAGATCAAGGAACAAATTCATTATCCATCGAGTTTCGAACCCACCGACGCTAAGTGATTTTTCCTTCAAAACAAGAAGAAAAAAGAGAGAGAGTACAATTCTTTTTTACCTGAGCTTGGCCATGGGATTCACCAGCATTGTATTGAGCACTTGCCATTTTTATTTTTATTTTACCTTAAAAGTACTTATATGGTAATTTTGAAATTTATACTTAACTTGGTTTCTAATATTATGAAAACTTGTATGAGGATGAGATCTATAAATAGAAAGGTTACCGATTTAGTTGATTGATAAAGCATGTGTTGCTGCTTCTGATTCTCCTTCATATGGATATATTTGTTAAGCCTTCCACAGAATATGTTTATCCATGCAAAAAGTTTTTTTTTTTTTTTTTTTAATAAATGATCAGATTTCTCTTTTTCTTTGATTTCTCTTATTTTAATGATAAAATAAACCCTATATACCAAAAGGCTGATTTTATATTGGGTTTGATTTGGTGTATATATTTGACAAACCAACATAGTTAATGTGATCTTATTTTAGGTAAATCTTATCGGGGACGGCTTGACATAATATGGGGCGTAAGGCGAAAATAAAAACGAGGCCTTAATTTTTTTTTAATTTTTTCATTCTTATAATTTATCGAAATCTAAAGAAGTTATAATCAGTTTTAATTATTGTAAATGTCTAACCAATTTCTTTAATCTCTCTTGTGTTATTCTGTTGCTTTATTGATTTAGTTTTGAAAAACCTTTTCAACCGAGGCAACTGATATAAAAATTATTAACGGTAATTGAATTAACACTTTTACCTGATTGAGTTTGCTAAATAGAGTATTCTTTTATTTATACAGTTTCTCTTAAAACTTTTAATTTTAAACATAAGTTGAGACAAATAATATTGTAGTAACTATTTTGTTTCAAGAATCATTCAATGTTAAGGACGAACTTAATAGTTACTTATCAAAGTAGCTTGAAAAATATCTACAAAGGCGCTCAAAGAATTTAAAAAATTATTTTAAACTAACATTGTAAGAAAATCGATTTAGGTTGGGACCACTTAAAGACAGGAAACAACCAGTAATTAACTACAATGTAAGATGTGTAAAACTTTTAGCTATAACTATTTTAACCAAATGATTTTAAAATTCTATTAATAGTGCATAATTATTAAATATTATATATATTATTTATAGATTTTGGGGCCTAAGTATTTTGAGGGCCTAAGGCCATTGCCTTAGTGGCCTAATATCGCAAATACCCCTAATCAACCAATATATATATATATATATATATATATATATATATATATATACTGCAATTATAATTTTATCTACCATAAATTTTATTTTTAAAGAGTAAAAATATCGATCTAACATTCCAATTTTAGATCTTTATGTTTTCAGAATCCTTAGTGGTATTGACTCTTACCAACTATTTTTTTTTCTTTCTCACACATGTATATTCTTAAATATTTTCTTAGTTGTTTTAAGATAATTGGGTATATTTTTAATATTATCCAAAACTTGATAATAAAAAAATATTATTTCAGCAGGAAAGTAGTTCGAATATAATATAAAAATATATTATTGTGGAGATATTCTTTTCTCAATTCCAATGATTTATGTAGTCCATTTAATATTACTTTTAAATTTTTGATATTGGACATTATGGAGTGGTTGTGTATTACCAATACGGAGGATTCTTATGAAATTAATTTTATTAAATCTTCATACATATTATTAATAAGAATTTAATAGACAAAATTTTATTAATTTTAAAATCTTAAGTATTAAAAAAGTCTAACATAAAAGATATTATAGTCCAAAAAATAAGTTATTACGGTTATGTCCTTTCCCAAATAGTTATCTTGTTTAATATTTCAGGGCTATTTTAGTCTATCATTTTTGTATTCATACTTTTATAATATAATATAGGCTCTCCTTTTTCTAAATGGAATTGGACAATATAATGCATTCTCAAATCAAATCAATAGTAGGACAATATAAAACGTTTTCAAATTAAATTAGTAATAGGAATATTTAAGAAGTATATCCTAAAAGTAATAGAATTACATGGCTAAAAATACGTCTATATTCTGAAAGTAATTATAGCAATAGGAAACCTAACGTATTCTTAGAGATATTAGGTTTACATGCTAACACATAGTATTATATGTCTATATCTAAAAATAATTATACTAACATGCTTCCTAAAGTTAATCATGCAGGATTCCTAACGTGTAATAATATGTCCTAAAACTAATAGAATTATAAGAATTATGTCTGGAATTCCGGTTATGTCCTTTATTGTGAGTTATTATAATTAATATTATAAGATTATTTTTGTAAACCAGCATTGTATTTCACGTGCCATGCACGTGTAGCCCCAACTACTATTGTTAATTTTATATGTAAAAGATAATAAACTTTTAACGCAATACATAATTTAAACTATAAATATTTCTGTTGGGGTAAACTTTCATAAATAAAATTTTTGCCTTTAAAATATCAATTTTTTACCCTTTAAAAAAATTATGTTGGATAAAATTATCATTTAATTATTTTTATAATATTAGGATTTTGAAATCAATGAAATTTTTTTCTATTAAATATTTCTTCATTTGAATTGTGTAGGAAATCCTAATATATAGGACTTGTCAATCAATTAAAAATTTATCTTATATACATTTTCCCCCTGTTTGAACTATATAACATAACTATCTTCATATTAATTTTCCTAATATTTATAACTTTTGAAATCAATTAAAATTTTGTAAATTTACTCTTAGAACTTTCTTAGGACCATGCAGAATCAACAAAGATTTTGTTCGCCTGGATTTTCATAAAAGATTTAATCACTGCAATATGTACCACACAAAAAATATATAATGTCTACTTTGTAACAGATTCTAGCGGATAGATAAAAGGCTTTGCTAAAAGACATTATTTGCGACATAATGTCTAATGTCGTAAATATGAAAATAATTAGTAGTATACTTTAAGTTTAAGATACATACACTATGTACTTTTTTGTCCTATGTGCAAGACCTACCTCTAAATATGTGTGACGACCTGGCCAGTCGTCTCATGAGTCACCGCTCCGTTTCCCCATTTATGCTTCTTATTGCTTTGTTTCGGTTCTATGTGTGATCGGATTGATTGGCTTAGGTTCGGAAATGCTTTGGTAAAGTTTGAGACACTTAGTCTCTTTTGAGGAAGTTTAAGTTGGAAAAGTCAGCCGGATGTTGACTTATATGTTAAAGGGCTCGGATGTGAGTTCCGACGGTTTGGATAGCGTCGGAAGGTGATTTGGGACTTAGGAACGTGATCGGAATGTGTTTTGGAGGTCTGGAGTGGATTTAGGCTTGAATTGACGAAATTGGAATTTTGACGTTTTTCGGTTGATATGTGAGATTTTGATATATGGGTCGGAATGAAATTCCGGGAGTTGTAGTAGGTCCGTTGTATCATTTGGAATGCGTATGCAAAATTTTAGGTCATTCGGACGTGGTTTGGTATACTTTTTTATCAAAAATGTAATTCGGAAGATTTTGGAACCTTAGGCTTGAATCCAATGTGTTTTGGTTGATTCGATGTTGTTTGAGGTGTTTGAAGATTGGTATTAGTTTGGATGGTGGTATGTGACTTGTTTGTGCTTTTGGTTGAGGTCCCAGGGACCTCGGGGTGATTTCGGATGGTTGGGGGAAAGTTTGGAAGTTGGATGTAGCAGCTGAAGCTAAGTCTACTGTCATAACTGTATATGCGGTTGGGAAGGCGCAGGTGCGACCCCTGCAGATGCGGAAGACCAGTTGCAGAAGCAGACGGAGCCAAGGAAGGCAGGAACCGTAGAAGCGTTTGGGGAACCACACCTGCGATGGCACAAGTGCGGGTTATGCATCGTAGATGCGAAAAGTGAAGGGTTAAGTGATGACCGTAGAAGCGGCGCTTGGAACCGCAAAAGCGGTTGCGCAGGAGCGAGTACTGGACCGCAGGTGCGAAAAGCCTGGGCTAGAAAGTATAAAAGAATTCCTTCGCGATTTTTGAATTGTTCTTCACCATTTCAAGTCGGTTTTGGAGCTTTTGATATGTATGAATTCTTGGGGAGATAAGGAATCTATTGATGTAAATTTTATCGAATTTCGAGACATGGGCCCGGGGGTCGGGTTTTGGTTAATTTCGGGATTTATGTTGTAAATTGATTATTTTCGTATGAGCTTCGTTCCCTTAGCATATTTTGATGCCGTGATTCTGATTTTGGTTAGATTTGGAGCATCCGAAGGCCGATTCAAGAGGCATAGACATTGCGGGCTAGAGTTTGGACAGGATAGAGGTGAATAATGATTGTAAATGTTGTCCTAAGGGTATGAAACCCCAGATTTTATATCGTTGTGCTATATTTAGGCAACGCACACGCTAGATGACGAGCGTGGGGTCGTGCACCATTGGGGATTGCGATTTAGTCCACCCCGAATGACTGTTTTATCGCGTATTTGATTGAAAATTGTTTGTTATCATCATGTTTTGGGTTGAATGCCATATTTGGGCCTCGTGCCAACTATTTGAACCCTTAATGGATTTTTACTGATATTTCCTCACTATTTTGATTTTTATATCTGTACTCAGTCATGCTATATTATACCGTTTTCATAACTCATCCATGTTTACTCTGTTTTAACACATTAAATGATATTTCAAATGATTTTTTGGGCTGAGCATCATGTTTTACTGTTGCCCGAGTGGCTTATGAGATTCTGACTGAGTAAGGCCGAGGGCCTTTGTTGTGAGGATACTTTTGGATCGGGCTGCACGCCGCAACAGTGATACACTAATTTATGATTATGAGGTCGAGGGCCTGAGATTGTACGCCACAAGGTGGCTTGATATGAGGCTGGGACCCTATTGATTATGCCATGAGATGGCTTGATATTGCACTTGGGCCATAAAGGGCCCCTCCCGGAGTTTGTACACCCCTAGTGAGCACGGGTACCCATTGTGATATGAGATATAGCTCGAGGGGCTGGTGTTGTTCCATGTGATTTCCCGAAGGGCTTATTTTGTTGACATTGTGCCCGCGGGGCGGATTTTATGTGTTTATCTTTTCTAGCTGCCTTTCATTTACTTGTTTAACCGTTAAAAAGGTATTTTAAAGAAGCCTATACTGAACTAAGGTGTTTTATGAGATTTCACTGTTTTATTTCACTTTACTGGTTTTA